CTTTTCTTCTGGGTTGTCCTTTTCCTAATCCCCAAGGAGGTCACAAGTTTTATTATCAACAAACAACAGAAAATCATGAATTCTAACTAACCTATTCTGCAACTATAAAACAAACTGATAAACAATATTTGTGCATTGTTTCCTGTAACTATTTTTATGTAGTTACTTGTTCGTAGTATATTAACTAAAACTAAATTCGTTTTTTTCAAGGCCAAGTTAGCTTCGAGTGCAATCAGCACACCTTGTGTGATTGCTGATCCGACATTAAATCGTAGTTCGAAGCTTTCTGCATAATGTATGATGCCCTTTTTTCATAGGTTATATCCCCTATTGTATAGCCTGCAGGAGCCTCTTTGAGCAGCACCTTCAAAATATTATAACTCAGATAACAGTTTATCATTTATAACATATTGATGTCTTCAATTATTTTCATTTCTCGTCGCAGCATAAGTTTTTTTCATTAGAGGAAAAACTTCATTCTGATGACAAAGGAATTTACAAAAGGGAAATAATAAAACAATTTATATAAATTATAGCCTACAGAGATGGTTTCCAGAAACATGGAGATTGTTGGTGAGGTCATAAAACTTTATGAGAGTCAGTGGCGTAGCGTCATTTTTCGTGATGTTAAAAATATAGAGAACCAAGAGATAGAAACAAGGGGAATTCCTGAAGAAAGCTGAAACAGGTCTGAGGTCTACCCATGTAAAAGATTACATTTATTTTAAATTCTTATATAATCAGTGGAGAACCCAGAAGAACCCAAATGGGGTTAAGTTAAAAATTATATTTGAAAAAATCTAAATTTTCCGCTTTTTTTCTGTTCATATAAGGTTACTTTATGTCATTAAGTTATGCAATGTACATTATTATGTATTTATTTTTATTCCAAAGTAACAAAACTGATTGATTTGGTGTCAATGGTGTACTGCAGCACAATAAGAACCATGCTGGATACGCGTCAAAAGCTTCGAAACTGTGCAGATAATTACGGGTACGTTGCTTGGTAGAGCAGATTTAATAGTTATATAAGCAAACCAATGACAATGACCGTTTCATTTGTAACAGACATGACATTGGTATGCTTACCCAGTTAAAAGCCGCTTTAACAGATACCACACCCTATGAGAAAACTCGTATGTAAACATACACCTTCGACCATGAGATGCTTCATTTGTCTTTTTGTATTGATGTAATATACTGTATTCTATAATACATTTATAAAGAAAAAACTCAAACATTAACTAATCAAATAAAAATTTATCCATGTAATTAGTAGTCTCCAAGATTTCACCTCCAAAAATTTTCTGCATGACCATACACAGTACATAGTACAATATGTACTAATACAGTACAAGATGGGTAAGTAGTTTCTGTGACGCAAATCCCTCTTAAATAAATGTTTTGTTATCCTGATTACATATGAAAAAATTCATTCGGATTATCAAGGAAATGCAAAAACAAAAATTTTAGAAGTGCAGTCTTTATGTATATAGTCACGCACTTCCTATAAAACAATGTTTCAAGTCACGTAAACTCAAAATAGAAAGAAAAAAAAAGCAGATAACATTAACACATAATTATATTTAAAAACAAGCCAATCAACTATAGAAAACTACATAAAAATATGGAGAAGCATGCAAAATTTTCAAGAGTATTTTCATTTTATTCAGAACTTTTACTTTTAACCAATAAACGTTCACGTATTTGACTTGAAATTGAAGTAAAAAGAATGCTAATTGGTTAATTTCAAACTAGGACTTTTAATCATTGGTTATAAATATACTCATTAATTTATTTTGTATAGTAGCACTGTTTGCATCAATTAAATGTATTTTGTAATCAATTAGAAACTCTTCATGATTTTAAATTACAGAAAAATATATAAAAATAAACTTAAAATATCAATTTTAAGAGTGTTCTTTTTTGTTTTATTACTTAATTGTTTAGGCTATGTGGTCTTTTTACAAATGATTTCATTTAATTCAACAATAATAACATTTTATGATTAAACAATTAAAAACAATGCTGTAATTTTAATAAATTATTAAATTAAATTACTTTATAAACATGAAAAAAAGATTTTTAATCATTTTTTTTTTTCAGGAATATAAAAATAAAAATCCACTTTAATGTATATTAATTACACAAAAATTAATTTGGGAATAATTAATAAATTTAGGAGTTAATTTATGATGTTTTTTTATTTAATTTTTTATTAGATAAAATGCAATTTTTCTAATTTAATTATTTAGAATGTAACATAATGATTAAATTATAAAAATTGCATTTTATCTAATGGACTTTCATTTACATGTTATTGTACTATGGTTAATAAAGAAAGTGTATAGTAATTTGTAACAAATTAATACTTTCCTAGATCCAAAACTTTTTCGATTTTTTTGACATTTAACTGGTCATTTCTTTATTGCTGTAGTAACATGGTGGTATTTATCAATAAAGCTTCATGTCCTTGAAAAAATTTCATTATCAACAAATAGTTTTGAAAGATCTAAAAAGGTCAAATAACAATACTTTGTATACACTTTTTAATATGTCTCATATAAAAAAAAAATTCAACTATAAAATTAATTATAATAAAAATGTATAATTATTTAATCATGTTATTAAAATAACATAAAATACAATTATTACTTCCTGGAATTGTGTTAAATGCATTAAACAGATGGTACAGTATACTATATGCTCAATTTAATACAGTATAATATTCCATTATCCAACAATTATCCAGTTAACTTACTTTTGGGCAAATCTAAATATGTACTGTATATCCTATTTAATGTATTATCCTACATAATAATTCCTCATTTCATTATAATTTATGAATAAAAGGATATTATATAGATATAAATGATGTTGGGTAATTGCTCCTTATATAAGTGCAGTTATTTCAATTTCTGAGAATTCTTGCAAGTAGACAAACAGACAAGCCAAAGAATATAATGATATGCATAAAAAAAATTTCATTAATAAATGATGAATCATTTTTTCTATTCTTTAATATGTATATTTTGGTTTCTAATAATTTTTTCTCTCTAATCACTCAAAAAGTTTTCTCATTCTCAAATGTAATTTTAAAATTTCTTTATAACCTTATAAAAGTTTATTATGCTTAGAGAGGAATATAAGGATGTGAAATTTAAACATATTATCTCAGTAATGAGAAAAATTAGTTTTAAAAAGTGCTACTAGGGAAAAAGTGGCACTATATTCAGTAAGTACTTTCAAAAGAGTTATAATCCTTAAAAGTAACTATTTTAGGAATGTTTATGATGTAAATTATTCTTAATGAAAATGAAGTTGGATGAGCTTTGTTATTATCTGCAATTTGTTGCTATTGTAGATGATGCAGATAAAAGTACAGCATATTTTACCTTAAAATTTAATAATGTTTAGATAAATAATTCACCTTAACAAGTTTATTTGAAAAATATTTTCCATAATTTTCTGACTGATTAGCTTAAAATAATTTTCCTTTTATCTGATGATAACCTTAGAACTGATTCTATTTAACTCTGTTTCTTATGGTAATTTTAGAAAATTATTAATTTATTTAATATTTTATACTTTAAAAATTATTTTAACAATATATTAAAAAAAGAAAAACAAATTTAAACACACACACACATATATATAATTTTTTAATTCAAAACATATAGCTACAATCTGAATTAATATAAAAAATAAAAATATAAATTATTTACATTTTAATTAGAAAGTAAAAAATAAAGTACATTAATGTGTATAAAATATCATGAATAAAATATGAATAAATTGAAGCATTTTATATCCAAAAGTAAATAGGATCAAGCCACCAGTTTTGAACAGTTCTAGTACATTTTAGTTCCATACTTCTGTCAAGTGCATCAAAATAACTTACAATGAATTATGTAGTATTAAACTAAACAGATCTACAATAGTAATGAATAGAATTTGAACTGACTCTATATTTTTTAAGGTCCAGTACATTGTAAAGTTAGAATCTTTTTATGATGGTGATGGCCAAGTATACAAAGTGCATGGCCTAAGCATGGATCCTATGAAAATGCAAGATTGCACATCCCTGAAGTTCAATAAGTAGACTGCATTAGTAAAATTTGAACTGGTAATAATAATTAACACTGCAAACTGATACAAATAATAAAAATAGCCAAGAATAGAGAATAATAAAGAAACAAGAGTTCTTTCATTCTCTGCATACATTGGTGCAAATAACTCATGATGATGATGAATATGAGATAATGATAACAGCATAACAGTCATTTTAAGATAAACACTTTTAAAAATGTTCATAAATGTCCATTTTGACTACTTATAACCATATAAATGCCAGTAATAGCTACACAGATGACCATTTTTGTCCATCTGTATGGCCATTCATAATAATAATATATATAATAAAAGTGACCAAAACTGATAGCTTGACCCTGCGTATATATTTTGGAATTAAAATAATGTTTTTACTTCTCATAAATAAACTCTATCATTATAATAACAAGAAAATATGTTTACAAACTTTATAAATTGAATTTAAAAATCATTATAATTTTTCTGCTGTTTTTATTTGTTTTTTTTCATATCTAGTTTTTCTTCTTTATAAATTATTTACAACAGAAAACATTTTTATATGCATGCCTTCACATAATAGTTCATTAATTCTGTTTGATAGAGCAAAACAGTATTTTTATTGATCTGTTGATGGAACAACAACTGGACGGAATATTTACTATCCAATTTAATAAAAATCCATTAGTGGGACTTTATAAAAAACATTATTTTCTTAATGCCAAACATTCAAATAAATTGATTTTATAACATTATACTTTGTATATATATATGTTTGAGATTCCTACACACTTAAAAAAAATGCATATTTCCTTTATGATTCTCTAAAGTGGCTAAAAATAAAAATATTTTTAAAAAATATTAAAAAATGATAGAGACTAATTTGTCTTTTAACATTTTTTCCTGTTTTTTTCAACAAATTGGACGGTTTATATATATTTTAATACTGTTACTGAGCACATTCATGGATATAGAATATCAAAATGAGGTATTTGAAGATCTTGAAGGATCTGATATTGTGAAATGACACATAACAGACAATAAACCTATAAAAGAAAATGGATATTAAGTGATTATTTTATAATATTTCAAAACAATTTTACATGTAAATTAATTAAACTTACATGTATACCATCCAGGCACCAGATAATGCATAGTTTAGTGTCACATACAGCTCGAAGAATTACGGATGTATATTGCTTTCTATTAAAGTAAGCATTTTTTGAAGCTTTTGGAGTTGATATTGATATATGAGCTCCATCTATTCATCCAATTACATCCGGGAAGCTTATTTCTCTTAAGGTCTCTAAAGTTCCTTATGGTACTTGTAGCTGTTTCGTCTTTAGGCCAAACAATACCTAATTATTATATTATATTATAACCGGATGGCCGAGCAGTTCGGATGGTGGCTTACCGCTTTGGGAACCCGGAATCGTAACCGGACAGGCCAATAAACCCCACAAATTTTTTGAGGGTTAGTNAATTTGCCTCCTTTAAAATTGGGTGCGTCTTATATGCCGGTGCGTCTTATACGGCGAAAAATACGGTATTTGGAGAAAATAGGTTTTGCTATTTAATTGCAAACAAGATGCTGATATTGAATCTGATAGTCACATCACTCCATCCATCTTGCCCAAGAGTGCATTCCTCGTCTTCCAAGCAATTCCATGTTACTACTGTACATGGAAAATGCATTGGAAGTCAAGGAATATCCACATTGCATTAATGTTACAAATTCATGGTTTTTCACAGTGCTAAAAGAATGTTGCAAGTGTAGAAAAATCTGTCAACTTATACAGCCAGATCATGTTTTATGTTAGCATTAGTGCAAACAAATAAATCCAAACCATAGAAGCAGTGTTAGTGTTATTACTGTATCCACTATCTAGTTGATTTGACTTCACTTCTTCATTCACTTTCTGTAAATATTTACGAAGTCTTTGAAGTTCTTGCTCTTCAGTAAACATTCCCTGCAATTGCATCACTTTTACTTCCAAAACAATTTTGAAGTGCTGTCATATTCTGTCCTCATGATTTTCCATTTCTTTTTATACAATTTCTGCATCTTGCTTTTTTTAGTTTCTTCTCTAATTTCATCAAAATGTTACCATGTTAGATGTTTAGGTCTTCTTCCTTTATTTATTCTTGGGTCAGTGTATTCTAGACAACTCTACTTCTCCTTACAGTAAACAGTGTCAGAAATTATGCTCAATGTATTGCACAATCCAACATCTTCACGCAACCCTATCAATATTTTTTCTTGAAGTAGACAATGTAATGAGTCATGCGATGCTTTTCCTACTATGATAGTGATCATTATTTATCCCATAAGAAGTGTGATTCATGTTGTACATTACTAGGAAATTTTACATGATTACCCTTTGCACTTCTGCATTCCAAAGATATTTCCTGCTCTGTAACACTAGAATATTACTTTTCAAATTTGCATTTTTAACTAGAATTTTATAGTTATTTTCCGAATTTTGTAGCATATCTGTTGAGAACCACTGTTCTATGTTTAAATCAAGAGAAGATAAAGTCTATAACAGGAATGCTACTAAAAGGGGTCAAGTGAAGTATGTGCCACAGGTATCAAGTAATGGGAACACTGAGAGGAGTAAGTATGGTATATAATTATGTGCAAATAGGAAAAAATGTGTGAACTGATTCATCACAGTAATATCCCAAACTTACAGAACAAGAGAGAAGTGCTGGAATTTTCCTAAGTGATAAAGACCCTAGAAACTTCTTGGTCTACATTCTATTCAGTACAAATACACATAAAGTAAAAAAACAATCAAAAAACAGCATTACTTTTTCATCTCTATTACTACACTCCATTGTTACACATAAAATTACAGTAATTACTGCTTCCTCTAGAGTTCAAGAAATTTTCTATAATCTAAAATAATTAGAAATTCTATCTCATAATTATAGTCATATGTAACATATGATTAGCAAATCACAAAGAAACAAAATCATTATGTATTTAAAATGCCTTCATTACAAACTTTAACAGCTACATTCTCATAGTAAAACCTAGACAAAACTCTAATTTAAATCAATTTTCAATGCTTTTTGACTTATCAATCTGTAGAAAGAATTCTCTGAAGATGGTTATAAATTCATCTATATCAGTGGTTATCAAAATATGGTTTGTGGACTGGTAGTCCACAAGCATGCACCAAACAATTCACAGACTAAAGCCAGCTTCATAAGTTGAATATTTGATAATTGCCTATTTGTCCCCTTTGATTTAGCACAATATACCGACAAAGAGTGGGAAACAGCAAATACCAAATATTAGTCACAAGTAAATCATCCACACTACTTGGTATTAGTGAAAAATTTGCTTGGCATTCAGTAAATACCAAATGTGTGGAGCAGGCTTAATCTAATCATTTTTCAAAACTGCAATTCTAGGCAATTTAGCCAGAAAAAACATTTTAATAAATTAAATATCTCTTATGTTACATAACTGGCTAGATTGTGTACCAAAATATTTTGTCTATCATCATCTAAGCTAGCAGTTGTCAGATAAGAAGTAGACAGGACATAGCTGGTTCATGGATTGATAACTTTGAGAATCACTAATAAGGGAGAAACAATTAAAGGTACTAATTTATATAAAATTGGTACTCTCATCATGTAATAAAAACCCAGAACATGAAGAAAATTAATTTGTGTAGAAAATGGAGGAAGGATATACATAACTTGCAATGTAGCATGTATGTGTCTACTCTATGAATAAACTGGTACAATCACACCTCTGAATGAGACAGTTGGAACCTTACCAGAGCTGTAGACCATACTCATAGGAGCAAAAGATTCAAAGGAACCATACTTCTACACGACCCTTTACAAGATACAGCCATACATGATTGGGAGTAACAGTGCATGCTGCTATGACTATCGCATTTAACTATTTAGCCCAGTTTTTTTCAACCTTCTTGAATACACGACCCCTTTACAAATTAAAAAATTCTGGCAACCCCCTAGGGTCATATTAAAACTACATCAGTGATTTTAAAAACTATGTACAATATTTAATTTTGTTTCTGTTGAGATAAATTATTGTTAATTAAAATGGAAATTTCAGGAGAATCGACAATAATTTAACACATATAGAGTATGAAACTTCCTTTAATTATAACATTGGGCACGGGGAGCTGTTGACCTTTATTTTTAGGATCTGAATTTTCAGCTTGTACTTGTTTACTTTTTATTTCCTTTTGCTAATCAGCCCAGCATTTTTTCCACTATCATTTTCTGGGGTGGGCCGTAATTCTCGCTGAAATTGTAGTTTTTTTAATGTAGTGTAGGACCTACAAACACTTGTTCTTTTTCTTCAAGGGGGTCGCGACCCACAGGTTGAAAAACACTGATTTAGCCCATGCAACTATGCTGTCTTTGAGCAGCCCACTTGACTGTTCATGGAGTACTTGATGTTATATAGTTTTAGGTAGATGTGGGGTGTTCACCCCATGCAAGTGCTGAGGTGTGAGAATTAGTGAGCACCAAAATACACAACTAGATGCTTCGTATCGGTCAAGACGAGCTATCACTCATCTTCACCAATACGAAGCACGGAGAATAGGCAGTAGTACTTGTACACAATACTTTGGAGGCGAGTATCTCACGAAGGGTCGCATACGCAGGTATAATTCCTTTGACTTTTTTTGCTTGTACAGGGGATCTACAATTCCGGTGGGTGGGAAACCCCTCATTCAGGTCACATCCTACCAATAAACCTTTGTCTTCTTGTTTTTTGGGATTGATTTACTATTGAATTATTATAATTGAATATGAAGTAACAATAATTTATTGCAGGTCTCATAGCATCTAGGAGAAAATATAATATTATGAATTCATCACCTTTACAACATGCAAATACCAAAAATTGAATAAGATCTGCTGCATTTTATAAATTTTCAATTTATAAATCAATTTAATTAATTATTTTAAGATTTAATCAAAAACACGTATTACTATTTACCTCTCCGGCAGCCATTTTAGCTTAAAGTAAATAAAGTAATGTTATGTTTATAATTTATAAGTGGAGAGAATCATTTCACGTTTCATCTACTGTAAACAGATCGTCTCAATGAAATGTTCATTTACTTAAATGGCCAACAGATGGCTTAAGAAATGATTTCATAAACCGTTGCCAGATAAAAAAAATTGGTTCTTATATTATTATTATTATTGATAATTAACTTTTTATTATTCCTTATAAATTCTCTGTATAATTTAATTTATTAAATTGAATCGCTTTTTAGATACAGAGAAATTATGAAAAATTTTACTATTATTTACTTAAGTTGTCCGGATGGCCGAGCAGTTCGGATGGTGGCTTACCGCTTTGGGAACCCGGAATCGTAACCGGACAGGCCAATAAACCCCACAAATTTTTTGAGGGTTAGTCTGTCTAGATATGTCGAACGCCATTATGGGTTTTGCTGAATCCATGATGGGCTTAATGCCAGCAAGAATTAAAATAATAATTTACATAATTACTGTTTTGCTTTATATATTCAATTATTGAGAAAAATATTTTAAAATTTCCATTGCTTACAGGATGAGTCGGGAAGAGAAGACCGTGTCCGAAAATGACGTATCGTTTCTCTCAGAGATGACCGTGTATTCAATGATAAATCTGAATCGCATCGCAGCATTTTCCAGCAGATGTTCGACACGCTTATAATAATAGGGATGGTTCATGAGTCATTTTCGGACATAGGTTGTAAAGTGTATTAAAATTCATGATTAAATTTTGATCATTTGTTGCGAACGTAACACATATATCATTTATTACCGGTATTATTGTATGTATATGAGCAATTTTCAAACAGCTGTATCTTCGAACTGCTAAGAATAATACTCGTGGTCTATTAAAGATTTTTGTTTACAATGAGTCATACTATCGTCTCCCACCGATTTTCTTCTCTTCCTGAGTCACTCTTTATAATATTTTTATCTGAATATTTTTGTCCCATGAATAATAAGTTTCTTTTCCCCATTTTTCTTCATTATTCTTTCCTACCTGTAGATGATGAGATAGCCTTCGTTTTAAACTTTTTTTGCCTTATGGGCCCAAGAAGGACTTTAAGGCACAACTTTCTCCCGTAACCGGAATTAAAAGATGGATTACGGCGTTTAGGTTTCGCTCGAGCGGAAAGCGTTTCTAAACTATGATACAGCGACGTGAAACCATAGTTGCTCTTGATGTCATTTTCGATACACTTTCGCTGCATAAAAAAACGCGGCCTACGCCTCAGCTGTAGTCTTAACCGTGACATTTAAAAGCGGGTGGCTATTCGGGTTACAATTTCTAAACGCCCCGGTAATTGCCAGCAGTTATCGGTAACACCGGTTAGTATTTCCACACGCTGTATCTCGTTGATTTACTTACCAGGAAAAAACTCCGTAACGCATCATTGTTGGTTCGTTTTAATCATTCTGAACGCCTTTTCTCAAGCTTTATCTTACTAAGTCAATTTCTCTGTGTTGTTATCTGGTGCTTTCATATTATGAAAGTACCAAAATTACTTGTATATTATTTAATGATAAAATGGGGACAATATTAACACCTTTTCATTATTTTAACAAGTCATTAACAAACCACGTTAACGGACTACAGACAATGAGAAATGATTCATTTTTAAAATTTTAATTTTACAAGAAACCTTTTATTTGTAAACAGGAAACAAGTCTGTATATTAAATATATAGTAAAACCTAGTTATTTCGATATCAAGTCCAGTCTTCGGCCAAGAGAATAGGACTTTTCATGTATTTTATTTTGCATAATTTGAAATACGCATACAATGAAATCTAAAGTCATTACATGATCCGATTACCTCCGAAAATATCGTTTAATTCGAAATCTTCCATCATATTATCTTTATAAGAAGGTTTCCGCTCCCAAGTAGCAGTTTCAGTTTCACCAATTAAACATTTTTTTTTTAAAACTCTTTCCGCCTTATGGGCACTAGGAGGGCCTCTTTTTGGCAGGCCCATTATAGGTACGGCCGGGCCCACAGTGGGGCGACCGGGTGGTGAGGGAGCTATTTGACTAAGTGGTTAAGATTTAAAAAGTAAAGAAGATTTTATGTTATTTTTATGTACGTTTCATTACAAAGCTATATTTAATTATAATTTTCTTTAAAAGTATATTCATACAATTGAAGAATGTTTTGTACCAGATATGTATATCCACCACACATTTTATTTCACCAAATAAGTTTTTATAATTTTATATTTAATTTCAGCCCTTATATCGTGGCTAGCGATTTGGAATGTAATTGCGATATTGAAAATTTATTTTAAAAAAGTTTTGGCTCGACATCGTATAATGAAAAAGAAAACATTATTAAAAGAGAAAGGCCAATGCCTAAGTTAAATATAAACACTTCAATAAAAAATTTGTTCGACATTTTCACGATAAAATGGCTCTGTAAATGCATAAAAATGCAAAAATTGTTTTGTTGGCTCGCCTACTATTTACAAATGAAATTAATGTGTGGAATAAGAATGGCTTTGACAATTTAGCTGGCAAAAGACACGAAAAATCGTCGATTCTTTCGTATTTGAAGCAATTTGGAAATCAAAGCGGAATAGAATTTAACATTAGTAAATAATATAAAATAAATATTGAAAATTATAACGAGATAGTTACTGTTAATAGATATATTATATCTAAATAAATAGATGTTATATGTTTTTATCAAAGCAAGAATTGGCATTTAGAAGGCATATGGAATATACTGGATCTAATAATGGAGTTAATTATGTTGAACTTGTTTATTTATTAAGTACATCAGATAAATAATCTATTAAAAATACATTTAAAGAAAGAATCAACTGATTGCCCCTGGAAGTCGGCTTCTTATAGAAACACAGCTTCCCTATCATCAAATGTGACGGCACGCCACTATTATATGGCACCATCATATTTAAAGAAAGTGGATAAGTTCCATCTCCAAGAAGATGGGCCCCTTCTGGAATCATATGAGAGTTTTTTTCCAGTGCTTCACACAGTGGTGAGTTACTCCAAACTCTGCAATCACGAGAAGATCCTGGCCATCCAACAAACACATCCGTAAACAATAGTTTAGTGTCACATACAGCTCGAAGAATTACGGATGTATATTGCTTTCTATTAAAGTAAGCATTTTTTGAAGCTTTTGGAGTTGATATTGATATATGAGCTCCATCTATTCATCCAATTACATCCGGGAAGCTTATTTCTCTTAAGGTCTCTAAAGTTCCTTATGGTACTTGTAGCTGTTTCGTCTTTAGGCCAAACAATACCTAATTATTATATTATATTATAACACAATTAGGCATTTTTAAATATTAATAAAAAGCTAAAAATGCCAAATAAAGTAATTTTTCTGTAGATAGTTACTGCAGCTAGCAATTCTTAGCAGAGACTTAATTGGACAGTGCTCCTAGAAAGACGAAAATGAGACGTAAAGTCCATATCGCTGTATCTAGAAACGATATTTTCGACATAGCCTTCTATTTTGGCTTTCTTCGATTTTTCAACTGCAGCATACAGAAATGGAATATCTTCATTATCTTTCATTGATTTAAAAAACATCTCATAACCCCGTTTACTCTCAGAAATATTACAGTAGAACCCCCTATAACACTGTTGATAATTCCGTTTTATATGAATTTCATGTTGTACGAGTCACTTAAATTTTACAAATACGTGTGCCGTTCACAGGCCAGCACACGTATTTGTAAAATATAAGTGACTCGTACAACATGGAATTCATATAAAACGGAATTATCAACAGTGTTATAGGGGGTCGACTGTATTCGCATAGCCATCTGCCGTTTAAAAACAAAACTATTTTATCTGGTTGGTTTGAATGGTTCTTGAGTACTTCAAGCAGTAAAAACGAGTAGCGATAGAAAAAATAAAGCTTTCTGTTGCGTTCCAAATTGCAATTTCAAAGCTATACCGGAGCCCGATATAAACTTTATCTATTCCCATATCAAAAACAATGATTATTCGGAGCAGCTCACAAATATAACCGACGATTAGTTTGGATTCCACTGTTAAGAATTGGCAAAAAAAATGTTTTTCGATTGCCAGCTTAATTAACACGAACAAGTTATGGTGTCAATTTTTAAAAATTTTCCTTAAAGTTTAAAATGCCGGTAATTTTGTATGGGACATAGGGCTATTTTCTGGTCCTAAGCTGAACTCTGCCAGGTCCTTTACCAACCTTTCATAATTTTACAAGTCAATCACGAAAGGAAAAATATTAACATAAACGTATTAATCAAATACTACACAAAATAAAATGTAAAGTATATTTTGTTCGTTTGTAAAAAAAAAAAAAAAAATTATTACAAAATTTGACTTTAATTTTCTTTAAAGTCTTATAATTTATAAACCAAAGATTCAATTTTATTTTGATCATGCTCATTATAGGCTATGTTGTGTCTACAATAGCCCACCAGTGGCCATGTCTTCGTACACTGAACACTGGGAGTCCGGTTGTGGCTTTCGCTCGGACGGGCTGGCCACGCGGAGTTTTTCCGGGTTTTCTCCACGTCTGTAATGCCTAAATAGTGGCCAGTTTCTATTAAAAAAGACCTCCCGGAAGGTATACCCCTTAGGCAGATCGCCCAAGTGTTGCTTTGCCATAAACTTAACAAACATGTCTACAATGGCACGACCACATGGTGAAAGAGAAGCCCGATATATCTGGGACATCCTCTGTATTTCTTAAATTAATTTTTTTTAAATTTTTAAATGTTTTAATTATTTGAAAACCAGAAGTCATTTTCATTTTTTTTTCTTTTGCTTTTGAGGAAATGGTGGTGGGACCATCTTTTTAAGTGTTCCGATCTGTACAATTTTACATAAAAGTTGGACTTAAATTTCATGCTTTATAGAATTCGTATTTAATTTCTATTACTGTGAAGTCCTATTCTTTCTATAATGTAATTTAACCGTTAAAGAAAGAGTAAAAATAATCGAAGACATAAAAACTAACACAGTATGGATTTGAAGATAAACAAGAGAAAATAATGAAAAATTAAATGTGATAAGTTAAAAGAAAACCTGTTACAGAAGGAGATATAATGATAATTAGAATTATCTGTACTTATCTACAGATCGGATTAAATTGGACTAATGGAATAAGGCAACGCAACACCTGGACGATCTGTCAAGAGAGGTGCTTCCCGGGAGAACATTCTATGGAAAACTGGCCTTATTTATATGTTAGACACGTGAATAAAACTCGGAAAGCTCCACGTGACTAGCCCGTTGTACAGGAAATTAGTCTCTATGTAGGTGTTACAAACGTGAAGAGAATCTGAAAAACTCCACGTTGGTGAGATGCGAACCCGCAACCAGTGTTTAGTGGTTTTATCCATTCGTCCACTGATGGAGCCTAGATATAAATTATTATTAAAGTTTTCCCGGAGAAAGTTCTATACCAAATTTACTTGGGGTTCTTTGTCTCGTTCCAGCCCGAAAAGACACCATTTAAGATTTAATGCCACAGATTTTAAATTAAGAAAATTGATACTAAAATATTACTTTCAAAATAATTGTGAAAAATATTTAAAAGTAAAATAATTTTTAAAAGATATTTGTTTAACGAATTGTTTATTTAAGCAATTGATAAATGAGATAAGACGTTAACATTATCATTTATTCTTTCTTGGCTCATTATCATTCAATAACGATCAAACTTGTGTACAAATGATATTTTTCTGAATTAACTTTATTTTCAATTAACTTGTTTATTTGTCTATTATATCATTAACATTTATAAGGAAATAAATTAACTCGGCTTAATTTAATTGAGTTGATTACTAAAGATAAGTTGCCCTTACACAGTAAACAATGTTATAAATATGTTGTAAATACAGTACAGTAGATTATACATATTTGGAATATGAATGTACCAAAATATTTTCTACACAAACTATGTTTTTATGTTGTAAATTAGTGCAGAAACATATATAGGACTACTAATTGGCAAATGTTATCTCTTAGTTTGCACGAATGCAAAAGCATTCGTGCAAACTAAGAGATTATTCATTCGCATCCACATGTGTATTCTTCATAAATACATTCTGGTGGTCTATAGCAATTGATCTTAATTGGAAAAAATCAAAAATTTATAATTTCTTAAGTGCAATTGTCAAATAATTTACAATAGAGATTTGATATTTTTTAAAGGTGATACAGTTTGAAGCAGGGTTGGATTCGGATTGATGGAATAAAGTAACGTAACGCATGAAAGATTTACTAAGGACTTCCTATAAGCAACTGTCTCCTATATAGGTGTTAGACACGTAAAAAAAACCTAAAAAACTCTATGTAGTCAGCCCGTCAGTCAAGCGCGAACCCGCAACTACTTGCTGGTATTCAGCAATTTTATTCACTTGCCCACTATTGGGTAGTTATAGCCAATTTTAAGTAGTAGTAGACCCACATTTTGGCGTTCTTCTGAAAGGTGGTTACTAGCGCACCTTCGGAAGGAAGAGCAAAATACCAGTGGAAATAAAATCAAGCTTCTATACTTCGAGTCAATTGAACTTCTCACAAAGAGATGGCTACCTGACATTTCGAGGATTAGCTTAGCTTATTTCACAGTTTCTATTTCATCGTCCATTTAATTAAAAAGAAAATATTTTCGGTTTTCGGTTTTTTTCAATCTTTTTTTTACCCCGCTGCTTTTCATTATATTGTGACTTGTATTCTATTATATTCGTAAATTTGGTTTTTCAATATTGGAGTCCGGCATTTATAGAAGCTTTTGTGCCCACCAGTGGCCAAACGGTCTTCCTACCCTAAACACTGGCAGTTCGGTCGTGGGTTCGACCCTCGCTCGAATGGCTGGCCTCGTGAAGTTTTCCGGGTTTCTCTGTAAATAGACTTTCTTTCTTTCTGTAGGTGGTGGTGGTAGTATAAGGCGAATAGCCATGACGCCTTATACTCCGAGAGACTTGTCGTTGATCGCTAGGCGACCGAAGAGCAGCCGGCCTTATAGAACGGCCTAAACGTGCGCGGAGGAAAGAATGCCTTCCGGGAGGACTTTTGTAAGGGAAACTGGCCCTTATTCAAGCGTCATCAACATGGGGAAAACCCGGAAAACTCCATGCTGCCAGCCCATCCGAGCGAACTCCCAGTGCGCTTAAATAGTTTCGCCAGTTTCCCTTAAAAAGACCTCCCGAAAGGCATCCCACTTCGAACACATTCTCTCCTTTTCTTCTGGGTTGTCCTTTTCCTAATCCCCAAGGAGGTCACAAGTTTTATTATCAACAAACAACAGAAAATCATGAATTCTAACTAACCTATTCTGCAAATATAAAACAAACTGATAAACAATATTTGTGCATTGTTTCCTGTAACTATTTTTATGTAGTTACTTGTTCGTAGTATATTAACTAAAACTAAATTCGTTTTTTTCAAGGCCAAGTTAGCTTCGAGTGCAATCAGCACACCTTGTGTGATTGCTGATCCGACATTAAATCGTAGTTCGAAGCTTTCTGCATAATGTATGATGCCCTTTTTTCATAGGTTATATCCCCTATTGTATAGCCTGCAGGAGCCTCTTTGAGCAGCACCTTCAAAATATTATAACTCAGATAACAGTTTATCATTTATAACATATTGATGTCTTCAATTATTTTCATTTCTCGTCGCAGCATAAGTTTTTTTCATTAGAGGAAAAACTTCATTCTGATGACAAAGGAATTTACAAAAGGGAAATAATAAAACAATTTATATAAATTATAGCCTACAGAGATGGTTTCCAGAAACATGGAGATTGTTGGTGAGGTCATAAAACTTTATGAGAGTCAGTGGCGTAGCGTCATTTTTCGTGATGTTAAAAATATAGAGAACCAAGAGATAGAAACAAGGGGAATTCCTGAAGAAAGCTGAAACAGGTCTGAGGTCTACCCATGTAAAAGATTACATTTATTTTAAATTCTTATATAATCAGTGGAGAACCCAGAAGAACCCAAATGGGGTTAAGTTAAAAATTATATTTGAAAAAATCTAAATTTTCCGCTTTTTTTCTGTTCATATAAGGTTACTTTATGTCATTAAGTTATGCAATGTACATTATTATGTATTTATTTTTATTCCAAAGTAACAAAACTGATTGATTTGGTGTCAATGGTGTACTGCAGCACAATAAGAACCATGCTGGATACGCGTCAAAAGCTTCGAAACTGTGCAGATAATTACGGGTACGTTGCTTGGTAGAGCAGATTTAATAGTTATATAAGCAAACCAATGACAATGACCGTTTCATTTGTAACAGACATGACATTGGTATGCTTACCCAGTTAAAAGCCGCTTTAACAGATACCACACCCTATGAGAAAACTCGTATGTAAACATACACCTTCGACCATGAGATGCTTCATTTGTCTTTTTGTATTGATGTAATATACTGTATTCTATAATACATTTATAAAGAAAAAACTCAAACATTAACTAATCAAATAAAAATTTATCCATGTAATTAGTAGTCTCCAAGATTTCACCTCCAAAAATTTTCTGCATGACCATACACAGTACATAGTACAATATGTACTAATACAGTACAAGATGGGTAAGTAGTTTCTGTGACGCAAATCCCTCTTAAATAAATGTTTTGTTATCCTGATTACATATGAAAAAATTCATTCGGATTATCAAGGAAATGCAAAAACAAAAATTTTAGAAGTGCAGTCTTTATGTATATAGTCACGCACTTCCTATAAAACAATGTTTCAAGTCACGTAAACTCAAAATAGAAAGAAAAAAAAAGCAGATAACATTAACACATAATTATATTTAAAAACAAGCCAATCAACTATAGAAAACTACATAAAAATATGGAGAAGCATGCAAAATTTTCAAGAGTATTTTCATTTTATTCAGAACTTTTACTTTTAACCAATAAACGTTCGCGTATTTGACTTGAAATTGAAGTAAAAAGAATGCTAATTGGTTAATTTCAAACTAGGACTTTTAATCATTGGTTATAAATATACTCATTAATTTATTTTGTATAGTAGCACTGTTTGCATCAATTAAATGTATTTTGTAATCAATTAGAAACTCTTCATGATTTTAAATTACAGAAAAATATATAAAAATAAACTTAAAATATCAATTTTAAGAGTGTTCTTTTTTGTTTTATTACTTAATTGTTTAGGCTATGTGGTCTTTTTACAAATGATTTCATTTAATTCAACAATAATAACATTTTATGATTAAACAATTAAAAACAATGCTGTAATTTTAATAAATTATTAAATTAAATTACTTTATAAACATGAAAAAAAGATTTTTAATCATTTTTTTTTTTCAGGAATATAAAAATAAAAATCCACTTTAATGTATATTAATTACACAAAAATTAATTTGGGAATAATTAATAAATTTAGGAGTTAATTTATGATGTTTTTTTATTTAATTTTTTATTAGATAAAATGCAATTTTTCTAATTTAATTATTTAGAATGTAACATAATGATTAAATTATAAAAATTGCATTTTATCTAATGGACTTTCATTTACATGTTATTGTACTATGGTTAATAAAGAAAGTGTATAGTAATTTGTAACAAATTAATACTTTCCTAGATCCAAAACTTTTTCGATTTTTTTGACATTTAACTGGTCATTTCTTTATTGCTGTAGTAACATGGTGGTATTTATCAATAAAGCTTCATGTCCTTGAAAAAATTTCATTATCAACAAATAGTTTTGAAAGATCTAAAAAGGTCAAATAACAATACTTTGTATACACTTTTTAATATGTCTCATATAAAAAAAAAATTCAACTATAAAATTAATTATAATAAAAATGTATAATTATTTAATCATGTTATTAAAATAACATAAAATACAATTATTACTTCCTGGAATTGTGTTAAATGCATTAAACAGATGGTACAGTATACTATATGCTCAATTTAATACAGTATAATATTCCATTATCCAACAATTATCCAGTTAACTTACTTTTGGGCAAATCTAAATATGTACTGTATATCCTATTTAATGTATTATCCTACATAATAATTCCTCATTTCATTATAATTTATGAATAAAAGGATATTATATAGATATAAATGATGTTGGGTAATTGCTCCTTATATAAGTGCAGTTATTTCAATTTCTGAGAATTCTTGCAAGTAGACAAACAGACAAGCCAAAGAATATAATGATATGCATAAAAAAAATTTCATTAATAAATGATGAATCATTTTTTCTATTCTTTAATATGTATATTTTGGTTTCTAATAATTTTTTCTCTCTAATCACTCAAAAAGTTTTCTCATTCTCAAATGTAATTTTAAAATTTCTTTATAACCTTATAAAAGTTTATTATGCTTAGAGAGGAATATAAGGATGTGAAATTTAAACATATTATCTCAGTAATGAGAAAAATTAGTTTTAAAAAGTGCTACTAGGGAAAAAGTGGCACTATATTCAGTAAGTACTTTCAAAAGAGTTATAATCCTTAAAAGTAACTATTTTAGGAATGTTTATGATGTAAATTATTCTTAATGAAAATGAAGTTGGATGAGCTTTGTTATTATCTGCAATTTGTTGCTATTGTAGATGATGCAGATAAAAGTACAGCATATTTTACCTTAAAATTTAATAATGTTTAGATAAATAATTCACCTTAACAAGTTTATTTGAAAAATATTTTCCATAATTTTCTGACTGATTAGCTTAAAATAATTTTCCTTTTATCTGATGATAACCTTAGAACTGATTCTATTTAACTCTGTTTCTTATGGTAATTTTAGAAAATTATTAATTTATTTAATATTTTATACTTTAAAAATTATTTTAACAATATATTAAAAAAAGAAAAACAAATTTAAACACACACACACATATATATAATTTTTTAATTCAAAACATATAGCTACAATCTGAATTAATATAAAAAATAAAAATATAAATTATTTACATTTTAATTAGAAAGTAAAAAATAAAGTACATTAATGTGTATAAAATATCATGAATAAAATATGAATAAATTGAAGCATTTTATATCCAAAAGTAAATAGGATCAAGCCACCAGTTTTGAACAGTTCTAGTACATTTTAGTTCCATACTTCTGTCAAGTGCATCAAAATAACTTACAATGAATTATGTAGTATTAAACTAAACAGATCTACAATAGTAATGAATAGAATTTGAACTGACTCTATATTTTTTAAGGTCCAGTACATTGTAAAGTTAGAATCTTTTTATGATGGTGATGGCCAAGTATACAAAGTGCATGGCCTAAGCATGGATCCTATGAAAATGCAAGNAAATAATATATTTTTGTTAGGGTATGACTCTCCTAAATCGATTTACTATATACAGTAGTTCGCTGGTGTCTTTAAATGTTTCACGTGTTTTTACAGGATTTTTGGCCAATGGCCAAAAAAATTTTCCTTATCCAGAAAACTGTAGACTAGAAACATTTTAAGAATGATAAGATTAGATAAAAACAGTGTAAATTATATACTTTTAGTACCCTCTAATACACAAAAGTTATCAATAACTTATCATAAAAATCAAAAGAAATGCCTTCTTTAGTGTACAAAAAGAATAAATAATATATATATATTTTACTAAAATAAATGATAAATATTATTTAAATTTAATAAATAAATCTGTTTTAATTTTATAACAACTACAATTGCATAAAAATTTAGTCACATGGTTTGATTTATTCATGAAATTTATGCTAATGTCATTGAAACCAGGTCAAGGATCATAAGAGGTGATACTAGATCATATCTTCTTCTATAAAAGAATATACAGATTTATATACTTTTTAGATTTAATTCTTTAAAAAATGTTGTAAAATCTGTGGAATTTCAATAAAATAATCAAGAGTTATTGATGTGTAAAGTATCTTGTGTCCCCTCAAGGTTTGTACTTATAATTATTGATATATTATCTAAAATTACATAATTTATCTTTATAAAGTGATTAGTAAATGCAAAATTTTGCAGGAGAAGCTTTATAGGATAGTTATTCATTGAAAGATATTGAGGTTATAATGCAAGATATAGTTATAAAAAGTTATTTCTTTTTTAATATTAATTATGCCAGAGGTCTATTTTACAAGTTAATCTAGTCATTATTCAATGTTAAAGGTTTCTATGAAGGTTATAGAGATAAGAAAGTGGAAGTTTTAGTTATTATTTATGAGTTTCATCAAAATATTGAATAAATAATTAATTAAATTAAATTTTTAACTTACTTTTTTAATCCCATAAACTAATAATACTTACATTTCTGTAATATGTTGCTAGAACCCATAGACTGAATGCTAGAACTAACAAAATTTCTATTGTTATGCCAACCATCCAAGGGAAAAACATACAACGATTTTCCTAAAAATTTAACATCATTGTAAGAAAAAATAAATATAAATTAAAACGATATTTATTTTATTAATTAAGGAAAAAATAATTTACGTCATACAACGTATATTTATTAAATAAGAAGCAACAAATGAGTAAAAACCGAGTATAACCCGCACTTCAAAACTCCCATTATTCTTTATTAATTAAGCAATTTTTGTAATGTTAAAATTAAAAATTTAATTAACTCTACATCAAAAATAGTACAAAATAACGTTATTAACTCATCTGATATTGATTTTTTCGACAAAACAATAGCGTATTGTTATTTATTTTTTTCTAGAAATATCTATATTTATCGTTGGATAGCATGTATAATAATTCGTACGTGTGATAATTAACTAATCTACTGTACACATTTTATATAATTACAATGTAATAACTTATGATAATTTCTATAAAATAAAATAAAAAAAATAAGAATGTCTAACGAATAAAACATTTTAAACACTAAAGTTCCATAACACGAGCATTCAACCGATAGTTCGCGAACTCCTATTCATCAAAATCACTTCTCAATAAATTATAGAAAAATATTAAAAAATTTGAATTTTTTAAATCTTAAATTGATTATACAAGTTAAATAAATTATTATTATTATTTTTTAAATGTATGTTTAAATATATTCTTCTATAAATATTAATCAAAGGAGCCTTTTATATAAGAAAATCATTTAAGTAATTGCATTTTTCTTTTTCTTCTTTCATTTCACGTATTATTTTCTTTGGCGAGAATTAACTTGTGTTTTTTTAATACTATCTTCATAGATATGATTATGTAAGTTTTAGGCAGCTGCTTCTTTCTAACGTATTCTTAACACGTGCTAATCTTCCCCCCTCCTTTGATAATGAAAGAATACTTTGTACCGTATAAATAAACCTTATGCATCATAANTGAATTAAGTTAATTTAATGCTTCAACTGATTTAATGTTAAATTAGATATATTGTAGAATATTTAATATACACAGTTAAATACATTTATATAAGATGTATCAAATTTCAGCACTGTACACTGAAGATATATCATGTATAATTGTAATTATTACTTCATATATTGTTTAATATTTCAAGCTTTAATATATTGACTATTATATGCTTTATATCAAGTTTACAATAATAGTTTACTCGGTTGATAGTCTACACTTTACAAACTATGCACCTTGAAACGATTATTAACAGTATATAAGATAATGGTATATATAAAGTAATAGTATATATTATTTAATAGTATATAAGACGATTAAAAATGCTTAATTTTGTGGGTAGAGATGAGTTTTATAAAAAGTTATAAATGCTAATAACGTGTAACATTTTCATTAAGTTCAATTCTACTGAAGATATGACACATGACCCTCTCTATTTCCCCATCCCCTTGATCTCTAACTACCAAAATTTAATAGCATCAATCCCACTAATATACAAACCTCCTTGCAAAATTTCAGAAATTTTCGACTAAAGACACATGAGTTATTAAGCTTCAAAATGGGTAAACAAAATCGTGCTCCCAAATACACTAATATCTATATACTGTATACAGAAAATCCCCCAAATTATTTTTGCATTTCTCCACGTTACAAGGTCCCCGAATTTAAAAATTTCGGGTCATTTTTTTTTTACCAACTGCTACACTTCTCTGTTAAAGTTAACACCCAGGAAAGTAATAAGGTATTAATTTATAATGAATGCAACAGCAAGGCAATAATGCATTAACCGTGCAGTATTATTTTATATACTATTATATTATATATAATAGTGCATGAGTTATATAATAAATACTATTAACAAGGCCTTCCAAAGCTCGTATGAGACACGGAGATAGAACGGAGGGCCCCTTTCGCCATTGTTTTTTTGAACAAATAAAATACATAGAAGTCTTAAAAAAAAAATTTTCCTGTTACTAAAAATAACATTAATTTATAGAGGTAAGAACCCCTAAATTTTCTACGAACCCGGGGGGGAAATTTCCATCTCCTCCTCTTGACGGCCCCGATTATTACTATAAACATTGCCTCAACACGTAAGGTAATTATATAGATATGTGCTATTACTATAAAGTATTTTTTACCTTGTGCTCTGAGAAAATTATTATAAAGCTCATGCATTATTATTTTGTTTATTATTACTTTAAATACTATGAAAATATTACTAATCAACTGTTATTTTCGTTGCTATTAGAATGGCTCATTCTAATGGCTATAGGCCTATAGCCTACTTTATTATTACATTTCCTTCATTCTAAGGTTCATAGCTAAACCACTGGAATGAAAGAAAATTAATAAGATATAGGCCTATTTTATTATGATTTATATTACATATTGTTTTCTTATGTACACCTGTGGTCCTACGTAAGTATACCCTTAAGTATTTTACATAATTCCTATTAAGTATCCTATTAAGTATTAAGTTATACAAAATAGTAGGCTACATCATATGTTATGTATTCAATAGATAACAGTTTAACAAAGCTGTGTTCATTAAATTATGCAGAAGAAACCACTCACGGTAATAACTTAAAATAAGAAAAACAGTAGAAAAAAAAGTGAAAATTTATTAAAAAAGTCATTGAATTTTTTATAAATGAAATATTTTGTAATTACATAATTAAATTTAAAGATAAATTATTAAAAATTTAATCAAAAGAAAACAATATATTGATGTGATTTCCCTCCTTCCTTTTTAGAAGGGGGAGAAAAAAAAAGAAAATTCTTTCTAGATTACCAGATTGAATTATTAAGAAGTTACTATTTATAACTTAAAAAAAAAAATAATGTTCCACGTTAATAATATATTTAGCCAGCCAACATTCTGATTAAATATTAAAGAAGGAAGTAAATTTAATGCATTATATCTAAAATAAGAATTATAAACAATAAATGCTTGTAGTTTATTACAGTTTATATAAATTTATTATGTAACAAGCAATTATTCATTGTGACATCGTCACGATGTCTGGATACAATTTTTTAAATCATATTTTAATTTAAAAAATCATGTGATTTCCGGTCTAGACCGGACGTTCATATATGATTACTGGAACTTCCGGTCCATATCTGGTCTCGATTTTCATCTATATAACTCTATTCTCGAGATTAAGGAAGGAAAGACGGACGGACGGACGGACGGACGGACGGACGGACGGACGACAGTGAAAATTTAAAAATTGTAGCCGTAGAAAATTGTAAACGTAGAGGTGTACTGTATACCAGTTTATTAACGAAAGATTTAATTAATAACTGTTATAAATTTTAAAGTGAGTGCTGTTATACAATGTCTTTTAACAGTAGAAATGGTTTACGTGTTCATATTTTTTATATTTATATCATTTCTTTCTTTATACTGGTGAGTAATAATAACTAGGTTCACTTCCTGCACCCTGTAAGTACCTCATAGAAGAACAAAAGCCTACTAAACATAATGTGTGGACTATAAATAAATTAATGGACTCATAATTTATAATGTATCTAAACGTACTGGTACAGTACATACAAACTGACGCTCTCTATCACATTATTTAACGAATTTATTAATTAATACTTGAATATTTATTCGTCTTTTAACCACATATATCTCATTTATTTGTAGTTTTATACAAACAAAAACTCAATGAACAGAAATAATAACAATTTACATCAGTTCAATAAACCTTGAAAACAGAGGAATTTGATATTTCTTACTAACTCCTGTTTCATATAAACAGAGGAATTTATAATTTCTTCTCAACTCATGTTTGATACTAAACGAAGGAATTCATAATTACACACTAACATGCATTCCGTACATACAATGGAATTTATAATTTCCTATTAACACAACAATTCATAATTTCTCAGTTATGTGATTTACAAGTTGGTGTGCGAGTTCGTTTGTTTCTATAGGACACCAATTGGTGAGAAATTGTCAATTCTTCTGTTTAAAACAGGAGTGGTGTTCTCTATAGATCTAAATAAATAAAAAAAATTCAGTTTTATCTCAGCAATTCGTGCTCAATACAAACAGAGGAATTCACAATTTTTCATCATTCGTGTTCAATAAAAGCGAACAAATTCATAATTTTTCGTCACTCGTTTTCCATATAAACAGAAATTCACAATCAAACAATTAGCATACAAACAAAGGAAGTAACAATTTCTCTCCAACCTTTGAAACCACGTGAAGTGGATGAATTAATTTTTAAACTTCGCCCCCTTTTAAACACATGAAGCAACAATTTAATTATATAAGATTTCATATTTAGATACAAAAATCACTTTTAAAATGAATTAAAATGTTAATTTGAATTTAAAATACAAAGTTTCTACTGTTCATCTTTATGTATTTTTTTCTTCTTTCTTTTTTATCAATTTATATTATTAAAAATAGTCTATAAATTCTTTATAATTGTTTATAGAATTATCTGCTCCTAAAATTAATTATTTAGTTGAGGAAAATCTTAAAAATTACGTTGAAAGGAGGCAATTTAGAAGCTGTAATTAAATAAATTACAAATGTCTTGAAAGTTATAAAGTTATATATTTCGTAAACTGTAAATAAATTATAAATGAACTGTCAACAGAATAAATTTAGACTAAAAAAATAATATTCAATTATTTTTAATTTCTTAAACAAGCACTGGTTTGTGTTTCACCTAACAGTAACTAAAAATACCTTATTTCAACGGTGTATAAGGCGCACCCCACTTTCAGTGTAGAATATTTAAGAGGAAGTATGTAATGTATTTAAACTATCCTGTGCCTTTGTACGAAACATGGTAGAGCCTATAGCCTCCCAGACTTTGTACCAAACTATTGTATTTTAATGACGTATAAGGCGCACTCCCTTTTATCATGGAAAATTTAGGGGGGAAGTATTTATTGTATTTACAAAGCCTTACTGAAGGCTATTTGTGTAATTCATTAGCCTGTGAGAGATTTGCAACTCCACATATAACACTCAGCACGACTTTTTGAGCCTTTTTTTGGACAAAAGTCGCCTGTTATACGTGATTACTACAATTATTTTTATATTTTAAATTTACAAATATAAATATCTATGTAACATTTTTTAGATTCTTTTATGCATTCATTATTTAATTTTTTCGGAATATTTTTGTTATATTTTTATTTATATTTTTTGATCATTTGGAAACGTTAAAACAGTAGGAAAGAGCAACCAGTTCTGTACTACTTCACAACAAAAATTTTTAAGTTCAGGAAGTATAAACAGTAAATATGTATCCCTTCAGACATGAAAAATGATGCGTGAAATTATAATATATCAAATATTTAAAGAATTGTTTTTCATGAAAAAAGAAAACACAATTAAAAAATAACAAAAATTGAATATTAGGCTATATGTATTATTAATAAGATATTATGATTGTAATATTCTCATATCTAAAGTATCATCTGTAAGATCCTACATATCATCAGCAAGATCCTTTCATCCCGAGCATCGTCAGTAGTAAGATTCTTACATCCCGAGTAGCATCAGTAAGATCTTTAGATCACGAGCATCGTCAGTAGTAAGATCCTTGCATCACGAGTAACATCAGTAAGATCTTTAGATCACGAGCATAGTCAGTAGTAAGATCCTTACATCCCGAGTAACACCAGTAAGATCTTTAGATCACGAGCATAGTCAGTATCCCGAGTAACACCAGTAAGATCTTTAGATCACGAGCATAGTCAGTAGTAAGATCCTTACATCCCGAGTAACACCAGTAAGATCTTTAGATCACGAGCATAGTCAGTAGTAAGATCCTTACATCCCGAGTAACACCAGTAAGATCCTTACATCCCGAGCATATTCAGTTATATCCTTAAACCCTGCGTATCATCAATAAGTTCAATATGTGGATTAAGCTAAAAAATAATAGCAAATTACACCTAAATAATTTGCATTTAATTCGACATAAAAGACAAAAAAACAAATATTTTTTAGAAAAGAATGGATGTTGACGTCACATATTTGTTTCCTAATTACAAAGAAACAGATCGGAACATACAACACGGAGTAACGTTAAAAAACACACACAAAAAAAACTAACACGAAATTTAATTTATGCAACACAAATTAGAATAAATGAATTTCAAAAAGATTAATGTAATTATTTATGTATAAGAACACTACAACTTGATGCGCGCGTACAATGATAGACCAATGAAATGTTAATAATATTATAATAGATTAATTAATAAAAAAAATATATTATAATATATTAAATATTATGAATTTAATAATATATTAAGTCTATAAATAATTTAAGAATTTGTCACCTTTATAATCAAGTTCAAAGTAAGGACTGTAGAATTCGTCGGAATCACCACCACCCATGACATAAATAGCATACGTTATAAATAAAACATGAATTATCTGAAAAATATAGAATAATATAAATCAAATTTATTGATTTTTCTGTCTTAAATAAATTCGTAGGTTATAATAAAGATATGTTGTACAGCACTTATGTTTGCCTTAAAAATTGGTTTCTTGTAAACCTACTTTAAGCATAGATTTGCAAGTTTTTTTAAGAGTTTAATTCGTTAAAAAATCGAGTTTTTATAATAAAATTAGGTTAAAAAATTATTATTTAAATTCATAACTTCATTTTTTTTTCTATATTTAGGTATATTTTTTCTTTAATTTTATATATAAACTTATTGTATCTAGTATGTGTGAACAGTTTGGATGATTTTTTACATGATTGTAAGCATAAAATCATTTTATTTATTAGAATAATTCAATTGTGAATAGTTTATATATTGATTTTTAGGCGATCTAAACATAAAATCAGTTGCATACACTATCATATTTCAGTTGTAATGAATAGGGCGTGTTGTTTTAGATGATTTAAACACCTTTAATCTAAAAAAAAATTAACTTGTTTGCCTTATAAAACGAGGAAAATGATAATATAAATAGTTATTTAGTGATATAATAAGTCAAATTCTCAAATTATTAATTACAATACATAAGTAATAACACTATTATGACGTTTTTTTTCTACAGGAAACTAACACTACTTTTCAATTGTCACAACGTATTTTCGGTCGTAACTGGCCATTTTTTAAATTGTTTTTATTATAAAATATGTTTGTACGTTTGTAAAAAGGGAGTAATATAAGAAAAAAACAAAGCAACCCTTTAAAAATACAACACGAGGTGTTTTAAATCTATGCCAACGCCCTGGTCACGTGACTGCAAACATGACAAGTCAAACGGCATGGAAATTGTTTATAAAAATGATTTTACGGTAGAAAAGAATGAGTTAAAATTACTCACCGCCGTATAAATAGCAGCATAATAACTTCCCAATTTCACACTAGACCACGAATACAACGTAAATGGAGACCAACACCTTCCTAAAACAGGCATGATGGCGTCTGTACTGACAATGGATGAACTCTATGCACCGTTGATACCTTACGAACAGATTAATGATAAATACAAAGGATTTACACACGCGTAACTATAACCAACAATTAAATTCGTGTGTAAATTACATATATTAACACAAGAGAACTTACTTAAAGTATGTAAAATAACACTAGGATGTATGAGAAAATGGTTATAAAAGACTGTTATCCCTGTCTCACCTGTATGAACAGACCAATCAGAAGCTAGTGTTTTCCATTACCTGAAAGGTTAACTCGATGACTCGTTTATGTCTTCTTCCTACCTGCCTACATAATTTCTTTTTTAATAAATGCGACTTTATTACTTAATTTTATATTATTTAAAAAAAAAACATATTTTCTATAATTTAATTTAAATTTCGTGTATAAAAATAATCATCAATTTTTTAAAAATTTTGCTAATTCATCAAATTATTATATCAATTTTCATACTGAAAATTACTGTGTATACACCTAAATTAATTGTTGTTTTTACAATAATTTAAACAAAATATAATAAAACCTCTAAACGACGGACACTGAGAGAGGACATTTAAAAATGGCCGTTGTTTAGAGGTTATTTTGTGTGCTTTTTTTTTTGTTAAAAATACCGGGAAAAAAATGAAAAATGGCCGTTGTTTAGAGGTGGTCGTTATTACAGGTTCGACTGTATTTTATTCTGAAATTAATAGTTTTTAAATAAATTTTTTTTTTAGATTTTGTGAGTTTTTTTTTCCTTTTTTAAATAAGAATTTTTCTGATTTTTTTAGAAATTTTAAATCTAAAACAAAAGTTAAATGTTTTGGATTTTTTTAAATAATATTTTCAATGAATTTTATGGACTTTTAAATAATTGTTTTAAGATATTTTTAGGAAAGTTTTAGAGAATTTTTGAATCAATTCTGTAGATTTTTGGGATTCGTTTTTAATCTTTTAAATGAGAATTTTATTGACATTTTGATAAATTTTTAAATTTACAATCTAAAAATGTTATAGATTATTGTTGTTTTCTTTGTTTAAATGTTTTAGATTTTTAAATAATATTTTTAATTTTAAATTATTTTTATAAGTTCTTAGACTTTTTAAGCAATATTTTCAATGATTTTTCTTTTTAATTTGGGGATTTTTAGAGAAATTTTTAGGTGATTTAAGGAAGACTTTTAGTGTTTATTTTTTAAATTATTTTTTAAAAAAATTTTTTCAAATAAGTATTTTCAGATTTTTTAATATATATTTTTTTTATTTAAAAATTGAATAAAAATTTTATTAGTGTTTTTTTTTATACATTTTTAATTTTTAAATCTATTAATGCTAAATTGTATTAGAGTTTTAAAGAAATAATTTTACACATAACATAACATACACACACAATACACATGACAGAAACATACATTTTTAATAATTGAACTGCAACTTGAAAAAATTGTAGACGTATAAATTCCTACTGTCGTCCGTCTATCCGTCTGTCTGTCTTTCCTTAATCTCGAGAACAGATTTAGATATATGAAAGTCTTTACCAGATATGGAAACCTTAAGAGCTGGAGGCCCCTATTAACTATATACGAATTTCTTGTCTGCACCAGAAGTCAGTTTATTTCAATTCAAAAATTTCCTACTGAAAGAAATCAGATAGATAACCGGTACGATTCTATTGCTAAGAGGAAAAGTATGATGTACAGGGGCAATCAAGCCACTACTAATTTGAGGTGGAGAGCATATATTTTAAATTAAATAAATTAAAAATTACAGCAGGGCATTTTAACGATGCCACAATAAATAATTGCTCATATTTTCTTTTAAAAATAAATTTTAAAAATAATTTTTGAAATTTTTAAATAAGATTTTAAATTATTTTTAAATTACTTTTTAGACAGTTTTACTTGTTTTTTTAGCTAATTATTACCTATTTAATCATTAAATTTCATACAAGAAACTAATAAACAACATGAAAATT